CTTAAAAGTAAACCTTCATTATTAACCTTTCCGCCATCTTGAAACAAAATGGCGGCTAATCGGAAACCTCTCATTGTACGTTTTATCATCATCGGAGAAGGTTCAGAAAAATACGTCATCGATTATGCAACAATTTGCATAACTCATGAATTATTATGGTAACTTAATTAATTATGCGCATCAAACGGGACCATTAAGCCCCGCTTTGCACTACTCCCGTATACATTATAATATATACACAATTTGTGGTTAATGCTCGGCAACTGGACTCTGCAGCTCAGTGGTCAGAGCGCGGCACCGGAATTGGCATGTAGTAAAACACTGACTACCGGAACACCGGAACACCACCGGAACACCGGAACACCACCATTTTGTTTGGGGTTAGGGTTAGGGTTGGGGGTTAGGGTTGGGGGTTAGGGTTAGGGTGAGGTGGTGTTCCGGTGGTGTTCCGGTATGTTTTTCGGTGTTCCGGTAGTCAGTGTTTTACTACATGCCCAAAATGGAAATGGAAATGCAGTACCGCGGGTTCATTTCCTGACATTTCTTGAGAACCTGGGAGTTGCATATTTTTCGCAACCGTTCCCGGTTAGGTCTGAAATTGTATTTATGTTTTTCCACTCGATTTATCCATCAACAAAACCCATATTAAAATTTCCATCAAGTGAGATGCAACAAGACCACCTATTATGCCCTCTCTCGACCCACCCCTTCTCTCAATTGGTATCATAAGAACAAGAATTATAGTAATGTTCTACACGGAATAACACCGGAATCTTTGTCTCAACAATTTGTGAGGAGAGTCGACATCAGTGGACGTTGCACGAGGAACTCAAGTTGTTTAAACATCCCCTTTTTCAGGAGCGCAACTGGCCAACGGACATTCTATTACCGTGATGTCTCCTTATGGAACGAACTTCCAGAGAACATTAAATGTGGTTCATCAATTAACATTTTTAAACATAAATTATGTAAATATCTTTCAGGAAATCATTCATAGTAGCATTTGGCCTTTAACAATTTTTACATCCACACCAGTAATTAGTTAGTTAGAATTTCATGTTAGTAAATCTTATAATTTTTTGTAAATGTTAATTGGCTCCGAAAAGCCCCGTTGGGGAGAGTTCAATAAATTATTGTATTGTATTGTATTAATGCATATTCATCAGCATTGAACACTCAGGGGCTTATCACTAGTATTCTACTCTGACTGCCTAGTGACTTTAATTTTTCCATACTGATGGTTTCTGACTAATCAACAATCAATCAAGGAAAACTTACTTGGTTCACTTTACGGTCAAATTGACCCTGTGTATACACTTTTATGGTCTAAAACAAATGCAAAATGAAACAACAGTCAAAATTTCATATTAACTGTGGGCCTTCCAAAATAAATTGTCTTGAGAGAGCTCGTCATTTGAAACATTTTATTGTTTATTTCATAAAAATCGGTGCAGCCAGTCAAAAGTTATAGCAATTTGAACATCAGAATTTTCACCTAATTAATTTTTGGAAGAATGCACATTAATAGGTGAAGGTATTAAATATATATAGGCTTACAAATGGCACAAAAATGCTGGTTTTTAAGGTGGCTCCCTACAGTTTTAATGTTATAGCGTATGGATGTGTTTCAACCTGTGATCTTATTCACGACCACATCAGCTATGCTGTGAATTTAATCGTGTTGAAATAAATGCTTTGATTTGATTTGATTTGATCTTACAAAACAAAGAAATAATAGGCCTATTATTTCTTTGTTTTGTAAGATAAGATCACGAAACTCGCTTGTAACGTTGCCCTAATAGTGAGGATTACGAAAACGAAAAATGTTGTTAAATTCCCTACTATTGTAATCATGGTGTCTCAATATGGCCGATTTTCTGGCCTTTAATTAAACTAATTTAACTTGAAAAAAAGAACAGTGACCCCTGTAGTAACTTGATCTATTAATATATAAATTATCATATGTCAATCAACCAGCACATGTATCTTAGTTAGCGTGGTTAGTTATGATTATGTACCCGAGTAATAAACAAGTGATTATTTATGTTATATGAAATGCGTGCTTTATTATAACACTACAATGGCGACGGGGATCAAACAATAATTGCGTACAGGATGACCGACGCACCATCAAGCAGCAACACAACTCCCAATAATGCCACAATACACAGAAACATCACAATAAAACCATTTATCAGGCAGACAGCAAACGATACAGCGGTAAATTGGCAAAAATATATATAAAGGAAATTGAGAGACAGTTTAGGTTCTTCGGGATTGACGACCCTGAAACGAAAAAGGACTACTGATTTACGGTGTACAAGATTTAGTCGATATTGACGAAACGCTTCCGGATCTGAACGGCACAGAAAACGATGACGCTTATAAATTACTACTTAGCCGCAAAATAGACAATCATTTATTCCTAAGAAAAACAAGGACTTTGCTTGATTTCAACTCAGCAAATTGAAACAACAAAGCTCCAAAAGAGTAGCTGAATATTACGCCAAGATACAAAACATTGCAAAGAAATACGAATACGCAGATCATGAAGACGATGCTATACGCGGTCATTTGATACGAACAATCGGCTCAATCACAAAATTCGAAGCAAAGCTATACGCGAAAACTGGGCATCTGAGACAGCTATCGACGAGCAAACTACAGAGCAAGCTGACGCCATTGACAAGAAAATCAACGAAGAAACCGCGCACAAAAGAATAAAGAAAGTGGCTTTACGAATACCTACACTATTTTGGAACCATCCTAAGAGATACGAAAAACTAGTTTCATATTAATCTGACACTGCTATCGAGCAAGGGAAAATTCGTCGGCTTGAGCGGGATTTGAACTCGCATCTTCGGGTATCTAGACTGCCGCTCTACCTATTGAGCTATCGAGTCAACAGGGATTGGTATAGCGAGTCTTATCCAATTTAAGTGCACGAAATATTTCCGTGCCGACTTTACGCTTGGCTTAGAGGACGCGCAGTGTTTCAATTCTATTTCAGAACCATCCTTAGAGATACGAAAAACTAGTTTCATATTAATCTGACACTGCAATCGAGCAACGAAAAATTCGTTGGCTCGACAGACAAGCGTTAAGTCGTCACGAAAATATTTCGTGCACTTATATTGGATAAGACTCGCTACCAATTCGATAGCTCAATAGGTAGAGCGGCGGTCTAGATAGCCGAAGATGCGAGTTCAAATCCAGCTCGAGTCGACAAATTTTTCGTTGCTCGATTGCAGTGTAAGATTAATATGAAACTAGTTTTTCGTATCTCTGAGGATGGACATGGATGGTTCTGAAATAGAATTGAAACACTTGCGCGTCCTCTAAGACAAGCGTTAGTCGTCACGAAAATATTTCGTGCACTTAAATTGGATAAAACTCGCTACCAATCCCTGTTGACTCGATAGCTCAATAGGTAGAGCGGCGGTCTAGATACCCGAAGATGTGAGTTCAAATCCCGCTCGAGCCAACAAATTTTTGTTGCGGGAATTCAAAGAAACACACCACTTGCCCTGCTATTGGTGTTTCGTGTGATAACTGTGGAAAGAAAAACCACTACGCGCGAGTCAGTTTTGGAAAAGCTAAACACGATATAGACAATCGTAACCAGAAACAGCTCCTTGGTAGTAATAGATATCGCTCAAATTCGAAGAACATTCAAGATAAACGAGATTATCACGGTGATGACACGTTGGCAATAACTGTAGTGACTACAGCTCAAGTAACGACGAATGTTTTATGAATTACCTCAAAACACACCACACAAGCCAAGATAACGGTGATAAATGGAAAACATGCACAATCCAAATCAACCGAATAAATATCGTAGCTGAACCGGACAGTGGATCTGATACAAACATTATGTGGACGAAAGCCAATTGACGCACCTTCGAGAACAAGCGCCGGAATTGAAGATTAAAAATACGAAGATCAAACTTAAAGCTCTTAAAGAGGAATTACCGGTAATTGGAGAAGTAAATTTTGAAATGTCAAATGCAACACGAACTGTTTCTACAACTATGCTGATTATCAAAGGAAAAATCGACTCACCGCCATTAATCGATAGACAAACACTCGAAATGTTGCTGATCGACGTGACAGGAAGTCTTAAAAGCCCAATCAATCAGATCAACCACATGATCAGAACAAAACTGAACTTGATAAAATCCTGGACAGGTAACAACAGAGATTCACGGCCATCTGAAAAGCAATGCGAAACGGAGAAGAAATACAGATAACTGTACCAATGAAAGACGACACAATACCCATTGCACAGAAACCTAGACGAGTTCCCTACCAGTTGACCGAACCGTTAACGCAACAGCTGGCGGAATTCGAAGACAACAACATAATCGAGACCAATCGAGACCGTACCAGAACACAAAGCCATTACGTGGTGCTCACCATTGGTCGCAGAACCCAAACCAAAAAACCCGAAAGATATTCGTGCCTGTCTGGACATTGGTCAATAAATCAATGATGCGCACTCGCCAAGTACAAGCCCCCAATAACCGAAGATTTCATTCGAGGGTTCAAGGGATGCAAATTTTTCAGTAAATTAGATCTCAACCACGGTTTACCACCAATTTTCCCTTGATGAACAATCCCGGCAAATCATGACATCCTCTACACCGTGGGGCAATTACCGATATAAGAGACTTGCCTTTGGTCAGTGGACTCAACGGCCAAGACCTCTTCGACGCAAAGATTGCAAAAATCATATCCGGTTTCTCAAGAGTGTTGAATAACCGCGACGATATAATGATCGGCGGACTTGACTGGAAGGACCGCAACAAATACCTTCAAGCAGTACTACAGCGAATCGAAGATCATAATCTTACACTCATCCACGCTTTGGAGTTTGAGAAATAGCGGCACTTTTACGGTTTGGTTTTGTCCTTTAAGTGCTTAAAGCAACGTGGTTTTTTACTCTTGCCAATCACGATAGGCTCTTCCTTACCGCCAGCGGCATCAACGAAGAATGCCTATGTACACCGTTGTTTTGCTTTTTTCCCACCTCGGCATCTTTTTCCTGCTTCAGAAAGACTTTTGTCGGGAAGTGCTTTCCAAAACTGTCCCGTCTCGTCCATGTTCCAAACATTTTCGGGCGCATAACCCTTTGTTAATTCCTTGACGCGCTCCTGACAGCTATCAAGCGTTACTTCGTTGACATCACCGTCTTCACCAGCGACTCTCATCTCTTTGATGTTGTACCTTTTCCTCCATTTCTCTAGCCATCCGTTTGAACCTTGAAATTCATTATCACCAAGTCGTTTGGCAGTTAGTTTTGCTTCCTCTGCAGCATGGGACCACTCACAGGGACATTAGATTCTCTGCAGCGATTGTACCATGCCCACAAATATTCATTTATCTCCGAAAATTTCTGCGGATTTGGCCTTTTCCGACTAGCCTGATTTGCTACATGGATTACCTCGTCTAGAATGGATTCTTTATTCTTGATAATCGTTGAAACTTGGGTTCGACCACAACTAAATTTCTCTGCGATTTTTCTGACACCCAGCTGTGGATGACTTTCATGGTATTTTATAAGTTCAACTTTATCATCAATGCTTAAACAAGTGCGAGCTTTGGATGAGCTGATATCTCTGACCTTGTTCTTTTCGTTTTTCTTATTTTAACCGGCTTTTGCGGTGTTGATTTTGATTGCTCCTTAACAGCGATTTCTTCGCGCTGTTCTTGTTGTTCGCAGCATTTTCGACAGGAAGCCACTTTGAAACCAGCCTTCCATCCTTTCGATGTTTCTGGGGCAAAACGAGAGCATGATGTTGATTTGTTGCACACAGGTTGTTCACAATCTATACATACATAAGATGTTGTAGTTCCACAAACAGTTGCAAGACATACTTAGCGTTTTCCTTCAGCGTGTGCTTTTTGTTCGCTACATAATTTATCGATTGTCTGTGATGATATATGATATGTGTATGATATCTGTGCGACGTGTAGTCTTGCAAAGTTCTTCACACTAAACACACGCACGCAAAAAAATGGATACTTGTATTAATGTGGAATCATACATACGAGGTTACCATGAATACGTGGATATTTGGGAACCAAAAATAGATGAAAAATACGAGTTAAAACGGGAACCAGAAAACAAAAAAGATTCAGACGCTGGCAATTGTTAAATCATCACAGGGATCAACAGAAACCAGCGGCTTATCTCATGTCAATGCTGTTAATGAAACTCACATAATGGTGTTACACATGAACACTTATGGTTGATATCTTGGATCTAATAACTATTATATTGAAATGAAGCCGGAAGTCAGCGGTTACTAAGGGACGAGCCAACTTTTTTTGCTTGAAATACCAAAAGACGCATATTATTGTCCAGAATAACATAAGAGAAATAATGATTAATTACTTACTTCACGTTTCACTTGGTCTATCAGAGAATTAAGTTCAATCTATAAATAAAAAAAAACCTCGGATATATATAGTAGCAAATGAAAATATTAAGAGGCAATTTTTTTCAATGTCACATATTTGCAATGAAAAGTGTTCAAAACCTAAAATATTTTTGGCGTCCCTCACAAAATTACTTTGTTTTAGCTTTATTCTCTAGTTTATAGAGTTAGCAACCTTTTTAAATGCATCTGCCGGTTGAGAAACATAAAATAATAGTTAAAAATTGTTAATTTAAACACAATTAACAATGATGCTTTAAAATTGATGCCAGTTGGGAAAAGCAATTTGATTGGCTAAGAGCTTACAGTTAAATCGTGCAATCTGCAAGTTAGCAGATAACTGCAAGTTAGCAGATAACTGAATTTTGTGTAGGTTGCGTGAAATTAAATGAGTGTACATTTCAAATGAGGATCGTGACTAAAACACCACACGAGTACACACGAGTACATACGAGTAACACACAAGTACATACGAGTAACACACGAGTACATACGAGTAACATACAAGTACATACGAGCAACACACGAGTAACATACGAGTAAAACACAAGTACATACGAGTACATACAAGTAAAATACGAGTAGTAAACTTGTTTTTAGTGTTTGTAGGTAGAATACAGGCAAAAAGATCGTCTTCTCTGTCGAAAAACGTGAAATAGACTGAAACCGGCTATCTTTAAAACCCTCTCTCCTCCGCAGAGCCTCCTTAGGTATTTACAAATAACTTACATGAAGTTTCCTGAATAAAAACGAGCGTGTGTGGTGTGATGGGAAGATTGAAATGAAGTTCGGGAGGCTCTGCCAGATAATGCGATGAAGTATGGTTTTTTAACCAAACTAGCTGTTTGACCTTTTTTAAGCTTGAAATCGACAGAAATGTGAAAGAAATTGAAATGAATCTTCATAATCTGATTATCGAAGTTCAATAGAGTCATTTTTATAAAGAAATGTTGCAATAAAGAGGATATTTATAATCAGATAGCTCGTATCCATTGATATTCGTTTACAATTTCTGAATATTTTTCCATGCAAATGGACAGAAGATATTGATATTGAATTCACCCCAGGATACTCAAGTACGCCTGAAAATTAGCCTGCGAACAGGCTCACTGGGAGAAAGGTGAGCCTGCACGGACCATGTGTTTTATTCAATCATCCCCTTTTCGCATCTCCCAAATGCGAACCAATTAGCGTCGACTGTGATAAATAAACTGTCAAATTGACGCAAGGCGTGTACATTGTGCAACGAAGAAATGTAATGTATATATGAACAATAATACGAAGCATTAGCGGGCCGCACAATATATGTATTACTCGGAAATATAGCATTCTCCAGATAATAGATATCAATAAACATACAAATATAAAGGCGAATAAAATACTACCATTGGCATTGAATGTACAGTAATACTTGTACTATATGTGCGACTGAAAGAACAATGTTCTGAATATTTCAGCTATTACTAAAATACGGTCAGATAGATTGGGATTTGGAATACCGAATACGTCTAAAATTTTACTAACTGTGGTCTAAATAAATGATAAATGAGCATGTATTTATTAATTTCTTCGAAATCACGAGTGTGCCAATAGTGGAAGAATTATCAGCAGTTTATACAGTAAATAGTACAACGTTTAATGTACGATATATATTCATATCTAAATGACATGCCAGCGAGGATCAACAATATAATTATTCGTACATATTTGGGTATCTTTTGTATGCCTTCGCTTGCTGACTTGCTCACTAATGAGAATAATCCGTGAAGCCACAACAACCTCAAAATGTACTATACTATAGTCTGATGTCAATCCGAAGACGAAGTTCAGAATACTATTATAGTTTCGTGTATTGGATTTAAGCGATAGATTCAAGTCATTTATGATAGACGTTTTTGCTGTGATGCTTTGCTTTTCCTTTAGTTTCCATTCCTAGTTTTATTTTGTTCGATAGTCTTATAATATAAAAGTTCAAAATGCTGTTGTTGACATTTGCTATTTTTAGTAATTTTGTCAACGAGTGTAAGCCAATCAGAAGCCTGCGTTTCTATACGAACGCCACTACCAAGAAAACCTATAGTTCCGTGCAGGCCCTCCTTTCTTTGCGCCACCCGTAACCCAGGAGGGCCTGTTCGCAGGCTACCTGAAAATGAAAGTCGAAAACATGTTTTAACACCCCGATGGTTGATCGAACTTCGCTACAAACGATTATATACGACGCCATATTGATTGCATTAACTCGCAGAGGCTTCCTTTATTTAGCTCTTCCCATCACTCCTTGCGCGCTCACTTTTCTCTCACTAGAAACTTCATCTAAGCCTCTGCGGAGGAGAGAGCTTTAAAACCCGGAACGGGGAATGGGGGAACGGGAAATGGGGGAACGGGGAATGAAGGAATGGGGAACGCAGGAAATGGTGGGGCGAGGGGGGGGGGGCGAAGGAAATGGGAGACCGGGGGACGGAGGTCTGCCTGATTCTTTAAACCACAACTTGGTAGTTTGTACAACATCTAATTTTAGGTATTCTACCCAGATAGTTAGATACATGACACAAACCATAGGCTTCACATATTTCACGGCATGGTTTGCTTTCAAAATCCTGTGAGCATGCACATAACCTAACTGCACCTATACTTAAATTGTACTAGGGAATAAACTACAATCCTCACATAGCCTCAATCACAACATGTGGCTGGACAAATATACAAACTACACAGTTAACGTTAACAACAAAGACCAAGACATTTACAATATCTCACTGCATGGCCTACTTTCTAGACCCTATGAAGATATATTTAAGAAAACCTTCCTCTATCTCAAATGAGATAAAGGATTATCTCAAATGAGATAAAGGAAAATTACACAAAATCACAAGGGACTGTGCAAATCTTATTACCAATTCCTAATTTGCAATATCGCGGTATGGTCAAATCGACAGTGTGATAAATGCACATCATCAAATCACACCTATCAAGTAACAACTTTACATACAGTAAATGCTAGCTTCAATTACGATATTTCTACAATGGATTGACGTATAAAGACATAATACAGCGTACCGTTATACACGTGCACCTCTTATACGAGGTTACACGGCATGGTCTGCTTTCAAAACCCGGTTGAAAATATTAGAAATCCATTAGATATATAATGAATATAAGTAAACCACAGGTCCAAGACGCATGTAGAAGTCCTACTACCTATCACAATATTAAAATATTGATCGTTTATTGTCGCTGGATATGCAAACATACATACATATTGTTACACATGGAAAAGGCGGCAGTTTGAAGTGTGGTTGTGCCTTCGTGCCTGCGTAAATAGCTCAACAAAGATATGCGAACATGTCCTGGCAGCAGTGCTGGATCATTAAACGACCGTGGATCATTAAACGAGTTCTTGGCATGGTACCGATCCAAAAGAAGGGCAAATCCGAAAGAAGCCATAAAGACAAAGTGTTGGACATTGCTTAGGAAGTGCTCCAAAGAGCGCGAGGAAGTGCTCCAAAGAGCGCGAGGAAGAAGCCAAGCAATCGAAAGAAAAGCACTCGCAGAAACTCCCTGTTACCGAGACTAGGGACCTCCTAGAAGGTAACTGATCTGTCTTCATCAATCCACAAGCACCGGTATTTCCACTAAACGTAACTCCGGTTTCAATCTTGCCTGCCATACAGCAACAAACAGGGAACAACAGGCTTAATAGTCTTTTCCCCGAAGCAGCTCCACACCAACCTGTTATTCAGAATGTCTTCTCCAACCCTAATCTGATTCAATCAAGTTTGTCGTTCAAACTAAAGTGGGTAGCAGGGACACGGGTATCGGCTCGATGTTACGGGTGCAACAGAGAAATAAAGTATCCTCCTCAAGCTTTGATGATTTAATTGATGATTTAATTGTCATATACCGCGACATACGACAGTTCCGAGACCTTTCCGAGACCGAAATACAGGACAGATTCAGTTTTCAAGTGAGCCTCATAACGTGCATTTTCATCTCCGATCAGCCTGCGTCAGAGCGGGGTATCCAAGCTTTCTTGGTGACGTTCTGGTTGTTCCTCCAGACTTTCCTCCCCTTTTCAAGGTGAAGCTGGAGCACGTCCAAAGGCTTGTAGTTGTAGGAGAGTTCGGCTGGGTCCTTTTATAGCAAGTATATTAGTAATGACGTAAGCAATGTTGTTATTATTAATATTATTTAATGATCTGACATAAGCAATGTGGATTGACTTTTTTATGATACGCTGTACTAATAAAGGAAAGCTTCGCTAAATTTCTTTACTTTTTAATTCATTGAGCGGTTTTCTAATTCCCAAGACACCAGAGTCCGTTTTATAGTTTCGTAATTCCCCGATTCCCGTTTACCCTGTCGAATTTCAGTTTCTTTTTTCTGTTCTT